TTTTTCTCAGTACTTTTGGGAATACGACCGACCCCCGAAAATTGGGAATATTTACAATGTCTTAGACAAATTGGGAAAAACTGACAACATATGGTATACATTCATTAAGACAAAGAAAGAAATCAAGTATTTGGTTAATTAAAACTTCCTTGTATATTTCATTCAAAAGCATATATTACTAGTCATGCCTTTTCTTAGTGTCACCACAGGTCAAATTACTAGACCTATTTCCAATGGCAAATATGCTTATTTTTTCCCAACCTTAAAAAAAAAGAATTCTCAATTGAACTTAAATTTCTCGATATCAAAACTAAAAAAATTGCTAGTTTCATTTCAATATGGTATCAAACTGACGTTTTCCACACATTAGATTGTCAAATCTTAATGTATCTTGTATGCTTTTATGATACTTGCATTGGTTGGAATAAACCATTTTTGCACAATTTAAAATACATGTACTATGCCAAAGAAGCACGAAGGAGCTTACAAAAGGTATCAGTTATTTTCCCCAAAGCAATTTAAAGACTCAAAATTTCCCAAACTGGGCAAGGTACTTTTTCCCAAAAATAGCAAGAAAAGGCCTGCTATGAGATTACAAATTTCTATGGCACAGTGCAGTTAAATGTAACTAAACAACAATAATTTTACTTATTATGCCCCCATTTCGAAGAAAAGGGGGTATATTGCTTTGCACTTGTCGGTCCGTCGGTCCGTAGACCAAATGGTTTCCGAGTGATAACTAAAGAACCCTTAGGCCTAGGAACTTCAAACTTGGTATGGTGATTGGTCATGACCAGTAGATGACCCCTATTGATTTTGGGGTCAAGGGGTCAAAGGTCAAGGTCACATTGACCTTGTAAGCAAAAACGGTTTCCGATCAATAACTAAAGAACCTTAAGGCCTAGGAACTTCAAACTTGATATGGTGATTGGTCATGATCAGTAGATGATCCCTATTGATTTTGGGGTCAAGGGGTCAAAGGTCAAGGTCACATTGACCTTGTAAGCAAAAACGGTTTCCGATCAATAACTAAAGAACCTTAAGGCCTAGGAGTTTCAAACTTGATATGGTGATTGGTCATGATCAGTAGATGATCCCTATTGATATTGGGGTCAAGGGGTCAAAGTTCAAGGTCACATTGACCTTGTAAGCAAAAACGGTTTCCGATCAATAACTAAAGAACTTTAAGGCCTAGAATCTTAAAACTTGGTATGGTGATTGGTCATGATCAGTAGATGACCCCTATTGATGTTGGGGTCAAGGGGTCAAAGGTCAAGGTCACATTGACCTTGTAAGCGATAACGGTTTCCGATCAATAACTAAAGAACTTTAAGGCCTAGGAACTTCAAACTTGGTATGGTGATTGGTCATGATCAGTAGATGACCCCTATTGATTTTAGGGTCAAGGGGTCAAAGGTCAAGGTCACATTGACCTCTTGGGTAAAAACTGTTTCTGATCAATAACAAAAGAACCCTTAGGCCTAGGAACTTCAAACTTGGTATGGTGATTGGTCATGACCAGCAGATGATCCCTATTGATTTTGGGGTTAAGGGGTCAAAGGTCAAGGTCACATTGACCTTGTAGGTAAAAACGATTTCCGATCAATAACGAAAGAACCCTTAGGCCTAGGAACTTCAAATTTGGTATGGTGATTGGTCATGACCAGCAGATGACCCCTATTGATTTTGGGGTTAAGGGGTCAAAGGTCAAGGTCAAATTGACTTTGTAGGTAAAAACGGTTTCCGATCAATAACGAAAGAACCCTTAGGCCTAGGGACTTCAAACTTGATATGGTGATTGGTCATGATTAGTAGATGACCCCTATTGATTTTGGGGTCAAGGGGTCAAAGGTCAAGGTCACATTGACCTCTTAGGTAAAAACGGTTTCCGATCAATAACTAAAGAACCCTTAGGCCTAGGAACTTCAAACTTGGTATGATTATTGGTCATGATCAGTAGATGACCCCTATTGATATTGGGGTTAAGGGGTCAAAGGGCAAGGTCACTTTGACCTTGTAGGTAAAAATACTTTCAAATCAATAACTTAAGAACCCTTTGGCCTAGGAACTTCAAACATGGTATGGTGATTGGTCATGACCAGCAGATGACCTATTGATTTTGGGGTCAAGGGGTCAAAGGTCAAGGTCACATTGACCTTGTATGTTAAAACGGTTTCCGATCAATTAACTAAAAACCCTTAGGCCTAGGAACTTCAAACTTTGTATGATGATTGGTCGTGACCAGCAGATGACCCCTATTGAGTTTTGGGTCAAGGGGTCAAAGGTTAAGGTCATGACCAGTAGATACTTGATAACCCTTATTAATTGTTTGATCACTGGGTCAGAAGTCATAATAACCTTATCACATGACTAATTGGCTGCTGATAGGGGGCATACATGTTTTACAAACATATCTTGTTTTATTTATTTTTTACCTGGATCGCGAATTTTCTCCGTGAAATTGGGGGGGGGGGTTAAACTTTTTTGGCATTGGGAACTTGACTCAATATCTGTCATCAATAGGGCCACACAAAAAAACCTTTAGCCAAGGAAATGGTTTATGTGAATATTACTGGACCAATTGTCAAGGCACTAGTACTGGTGTGAAGTGGTCAATAAACATTTTGACAAAGCTTATAAATTTTCATGTACAAATACTTATAATATTATACCAGTATCCCATACTTTTATTTTTTGTTGCTTAATAATTAGTCTTGTATGACAAAATGAAGCTTATTTGTCTCATTTTGGAAAAAAAAAATATTTAAGGATCTTTTGTAAGTAATAAGCAAATCATGTGATGCTTTGGATTGTGAAGTATATAGAACTACATGTACATGTATGATATTTATATATATTTATATAATTATATAAATAAAGATTTCAAATCAATGATGTTAACAAAATGGACAAAAATTAAAGTATTATAAATATTTCAATGTGTTAATATTTTTAGCTTTTGTGATGGCAATGTGTCTCTTGTAGTGGATTTGGGATGATCCTTTGGTGAATCTCTACTTAAGTTACAAAAAAATAGGCATAAGCTTGATGCATAAGTAACTTACCTGAGCTAAACATGGATAAACATAAATTTTTTTCCCAAGTATTCTCAGAAATACAATGCCGTGAGCTTAGATATATATTTTGTAGGAAGCATCACCTTGTGGTGCTCCATAAAATTTATCTAAATCATACTCTATGTGTCGAAATTGATCCTCTCCTGTGAGTAAAGTATTTAGATGGTATTGACTCATCTAGGAAAAACAAAATTTACATCTTCATGTCTGTGGAAATCTACAGTACCAACAGCTTAAATATGCAGCATTGCTTTTTGGACATCTATTAAAGCTAATAAATCGTGCCACTGGGTTAAATAATGACTCACCCTGGAATTTCACATACATTGTAATTTGTAAATATGAACTACCGGCAGGCATCAAAAATTATTTTTCAGAGTCACTTGTCCTGCAGGACGAGAAGCTTTAAATCCAATGTTCTGGCAACATTTTTCTACTCGTCCTGCATTGGGTTCTCTCTAAATTGTGGAATTTTCCATCTCTGCCTAGCGATATATAACAAAACACAAGTAATTCTTCTTAGGTGAAACTACAATGTCTAAAGCTGAGATATTTATTTATAGGCGTTTACTTTGTTTAACATAAAATTGAGAGGCCACAAGCTTCTAGAAGAAGTCTGTTACAGACTTCCCTAGACTCGCTTATGGGCATTACTTTTGATTTTAATTTGTTTGAGTACCCTTAAAGCCCCATTTTCTAAATATTAATTTGATATAATTATGTTCCATTTATTAGTTTCATTAAGTTTGTTTACCAAAATTTGACTTGGAAACTAAGATATTGGCATCTGAACATTGACCTACAAATGATAGAGTGACAATCTGTTTAAAAATAGCAGAAAACGGTTTTCAGTAAAAGCTAAAAATATTGTCTGGCAACAGTGCAAGTAGCATTAATTATTTATCTGAGTTTTTGCATAAATGCACGGAAAATGTGATATCTCATAATCTGTTTATATTTTATATTTCAAAGTACACAATGGTATATTTATAGATTGTTTTAAAATTTCAATTTTCCTTGCTACTGTATTAAGAGACCCCTAGTCATGTGTGACCTTTTTTGGTTAATATCCCTTGGAAAGTCATATATGACAGTCTTCACTGTAATATGTCAGTGAACCAGAAGTAACAGTCAGCCCATCTGTACTTTTGTGGTGTTGGTAGTTATCACTCTGGATCACGGCAGTAAGCCACATTGAATTTACCAGAGCACAGTTCAGCCACCTCATCCTTCCAGGGCATGATGTAAAACAGTTTACCAGTACTAGTTGTCTTCACTTTCGCAAGGAATTGATTACTTCTGTACTTGCCAGAGCAGAGGTACAGTGCGAATGACAGTAGAAAGGATTTCATGGTCAATCACGAGGAAAGTGAATTGCACCGTACAGGAATTGAACCCGGATCGCCCGATTCACAGTTCAACACTCTACCTAATGAGCTACATATAACTGGACACCTTAAAACTTTTCTGATTTTAAACTGGCTATATATAGATAACTTATTTTCTAAAGAAAAGTTCTAAAACATTTGTCCAAAAAAAACCCATCATCTTTTATTTTTTTATTTTTTTTCAGAGAAGAATTAAAAGTAGTAGTAAAGAAAGAAAAATGAGTAACAGCATTACTACAAAAGGGTAGGAAAATAGTGTTTTCTGTATTTAATTTTGAAAGATTTAAACATTTAAGTTCTTTTACATTTGTGATTTGTACAACTACATCAATGAAAAAAATTTCATTATTATTGCTTAAAATTAAATTCAGGGATTCATTTGTGAGATCTAATGCACTTGTACAGCCTTAAAGTTATTACATATTTTTTCTTGTGAAAACTTACTTATAAAATGTTTTGCATAAAAAACGAACCCATTGAAATAAACTGATAATTTTAAGTTGGCAATGCTAATTAACACAATAATTGTAATTCTGTCCAAGTCAAATGATTAATTTCTTAGTTTGTACAATGTTATCTCTGTTTGCTATAAACAAAGGAACATTCTTTAAGTCAAAAATTTTTAGATCCACTTTTTGAAGAAGTAAAGTGAAGTTATTGTCATGACCCACTCGTTGGCATCAGTGTTGGCAACCAGTTTTAGTTGACTTTTTTGATCAGTTTTAATGTGGATATACCCATGATGATTTCTACCCATCACACTGATTTTGAGGTCAAAGGTCAAGGTCGCTGAACTTTTATAGGTAATAGATTAAGGTTGATTTGCTCAGAAACTACTAAAGCTGTACACTTAAATTTGGTTTACTATGACAACGTGATATACACTGTAATATAAACAGGGCAGGTAATCGTAAAATTACATTTTGCCAAGTTTTGCCTCTTTTTTACTTAATTTTTTTTGCCCATATGAAAGTTCTGATAGGGTTAATTTCTCAAAAACTATTAAAGATATTCACTTTAAAATTGGACTAATTGTTCTCAATTAAAACTTGAATGTAGTTTAAAAGGACAGATAACCCTGAAGGAGATTCTTCCTTAATTATTTCTTTATTTTGTTAAAAATTTCATAATTTTCTCAAAAGCCATCTTAGGTATTCACTTCACACTTGAAATACTTACTGAATATCAAGACAAAAATTTCTGCCAAACAGTTTTTATCAAAATTATGCCCCTGTTAAACATTGCTTTCATCATACTATCAAGTACTGAGAAAAGTGGAGCACACAGCTCCTAATGCTGCTCTTGTTACTAATTTAGACTTTGCAAAAAATGTGTAGCTTAAATACAATGTAAGCTTATTATCATTCTAAACTTAAGAGATTTTTTTATAGAATTAAGATTTATTTTATTGCTGTGTGGTTCACTTTAAGTAATTTCATTCACTATTTTAGGAGGTTTAAGTTTAAAAAGCCAGGAGGAAGTCTCAGTTTGAATAAACCTTCACCACCCAACAATGTGCTTGCAACAAGTAACACTGTAAATACAGGGTTGGATAAACTCAAGCCTGTAAGTCTAGCCTCGGTAAATAACTTGAATAGACAGGAATGTAACAACAGTGCTGATGATGATATCATGTTTTTATCCTGTTCCAAACCTACCATACAGACAAACAAAGTTTTACATAGTAAAATTGAAACAGTCAAGCCCAAAAAGGTATACATTTCTTTTCTTTTTAAATATTTTTTAGATATTTTTTTTTAAAGATAAACAAACAGTGGGTATTACTAGTACATGCAATACTAGAAATTATTTATTATACTCCCAAAAACAAAGTTTGGGGGGGTATATAGGAGTCAACCCATGGTCGGTCGGTCCAGACGTCCATTGCATTTTCCTTGAGGAGCATAACTTGAAGACTAATGGTTGGAATTCAATATAACTACATACAATGGTCAAGCACATTGATAGGAAGTGCAGTGCACAAGAACCATAACTCTATCTTGACTAATTACAGAGTTATTGCCCTTTGTTACTTTTCCTTGTCCAGGGCATAACTTGAAAACTACTGGTTGGAATTCAAAACAACTTCATACAATTGTCAAACACAATAAGGGGAAGTGCAGTGCACAAGAACCGTAACTATCTAAAGTAATTACAGAGTTATTGCCCTTTGTTACTTTTCCATTGCTTTCTTTTGTCCAGACGCATAAACTTGAAGACTAATTGTTGGAGTTCATTATAACTTAATACAATCGTCAAGCACATTGATAGGAAGTGCAGTGCACAAGAACCATAACTCTATCTTGACTAATTACAGAGTTATTGCCCTTTGTTACTTTTCCTTGTCCGGGGCATAACTTGAAAACTACTGGTTGGAATTCAAAACAACCTCATACAATTGCCAAACACAATAAGGGGAAGTGCAGTGCACAAGAACCATAACTCTATCTAAAGTAATTACAGAGTTATTGCCCTTTGTTACTTTTCCATTGCTTTCTTTTGTCCGGGCCATAACTTGAAGACTAATTGTTGGAATTCATTATAACTTCATACAATGGTCAAGCACATTGAGAGGGAGTGCAGTGCTCAAGAACCATAACTCCATCTTGACTTATTACAGAGTTACTGCCCTTGTTACTTTTCCTTGTCCAGAGCATGATATGAAGACTACTGGTTGGAATTCAAAACAACTTCATACAATGGTCAAGCACAATAAGGGGAAGTGCAGTGCACAAGAACCATAACTCCATCTTGACTAATTACAGAGTTATTGCCCTTTGTTACTTTTCCATTGCTTTTTTTGTCCGGAGCATAACTTGAAGACTAATGGTTGAAATTCAATATAACTTCATACAATGGTCAATCACATTGAGAGGAAGTGCAGTGCACAAGAACCATAACTCCATCTTGACTAATTACAGAGTTATTGCCCTTTGTTACTTTTCCTTGTCCAGAGCATAACTTGAAAACTACTGTTTGGAATTTAATACAACTTCATACAGTTGTCAAGGACATTAAAAGGAAGTGCAGTGCACATGAGCCATAACTCCATTTTGACAAAATACAGAGTTACTGCCCTTTGATACTTTTCCTTATCCGGAGCATTACTTAAAACATACTGGTTGGAATTCAAAACAACTTCATACAATGGTCAAGCACAATAAGAGGAAGTGCAGTGCACAAGAACTATAACTCCATCTTCAGTATTTATAGAGTTATTGCCCTTTGTTCCTTTTCCTTGTCTTTCTGGACTTATTACAGAGTAATTCAATAAAACTTCATCAATGGCCAACCACATTGAAAGGAAATGCAACATACAAGAACCACAACTATCTTTAATTGCCCACAACCATAACTCTATATTTCAATTCTTTTACAAGGTATTCTGTTACTAGTAACATCCTCATTTTCGAAGTAGTCTTGTGGGGGTATTACTTACATTTAGTGATAGTTCTAGTTTATACAGAAAGTAATTAACAGCCATATTGAAACTAAGGGCAGTTTAATATTATTAGGAGTACAAATGTAATTTATTTGTCTAAATGATGATGATGAACCTTGTTTAATACTGAAATTCCTTTTACAGGCCAATACTGTGCAGCAGTCTATAACATGTTTTACAACTCAAGCCAAACCTAAACCAGTAGCTGCAATAGCCCCACACAGGTAAATAATATTTTATATATTAACCAGTAGCTGATATTTCTCCACACAGATGATCAATATTTTATATACTGTAACTAATGCTATGTAATGTAGGAACTTTGCCCTTCATTAAATTACAAAAAAAAAACTCTACATTTTATAAGATGCTTGATACTTTTACTTCATTTGAAATCCAGTTTTGTTTTAAAGAAGTATCCCACAATAAATAACTTAATTCTACTTTGATTTAGGTCTCCTGAGAAGAGCAATGTTCAGCCTTTACAAAGGTCCGAGATGAAAGGAATCAAGAGGAAATCTGATGAAATGGAAAATAATTGGAAAATGAATAATGTGTCTGATCTATTCTCATCATTTAATGATGAATGTGATGACGACTTTGATGATTTTGATGCTGCTGCACCAGATTCACCGGCTTTTAAGAAAAGTCTGTCAAGCAGAAAAAAGGTTTGATAGTTATTGGTTTCCATTTAGTCTTTATTATACATGTATATCAGAATATGGCCCATATTGTTTTAGAGCTACACTTGGCCATTGAATAATCAAAATCCTGAAAGAGCTGGATTATAGGATTTAGAATTTTTCTAAAAAGATTTATGCTCTCTTTACATGAAGTACATTTAATTGAACTGTCTATCTGTTAGCCTAAACAAGGTTAGCCTAAAGTTGGATCTCTTTTAAGTTGTACCTGTACCAATGGATTTATAATATATTATTCCATTCATTAAATGTATTTTCTTCCATGTCATACCAAGTATATGTATGTTTTTCTTTTCATTGTTTAACGATGATGATTTTGTAATGCTTAAGTCAATTAAAATATAATTTTATTTTCCCGTTCTGTATAATTTACATACTTGTTAACCAATACAAAGCCCATGATGTTGAAAAGTAACATGAATTGGTTATTGACAAGGATCAGGGCCAGGAGTGTTTATGCTTACTAATATCATGTGTGCAATACCTCCCTTGTTTCCTACTAAATTGCAATCAAACTTTTATAGTAAAATCACCAAATAAGTTGTTTTCCTTTGATAGCCATAGTCATTTAGTGTTCACCTTCAAAAAGGAACCTGCCACCATTTTCCAAATTATTTATTTGGTTTACAACATTATATGATACATGTGAACCAGAAATGAGTTACTTGCATATTTAAAATGTTAGAACTGGTACAGAATGTAGGAAGACTTGAAAGGTAGTAGCCTGGTGCTAGATAATATAGACTTACAAAATGACAGTAAACTCTTACCAAGCAAACCATTTTAAAATTTGTTTTACTATTACATTTTAGTCCCCCGTTGTAAAGACAGATGATGTGATTGAAGAGAGTGATGATGATGATGAAATTATTGCACCTAAACATAAGAAAAGACGGACGCTAGAATTCTCGGATGATGAAGATAAAAGTACAGGAAATAAGACAGCAGGTTTAGTTGCTTCTTAATATTCTTCATCTGTGTGTATTCCATGAGAGGGGATGGGGGGATTGACTCATTATCTTAGAATTCCCTTTTATTTTTTCAGAGACAGGGGGGACATTTTACAAAGAAAGAAGAAAAAAAATCAACAAATGTAATAAATTCTCACTTCACGATAAAAATTCCTGCTGTTTTTCAAAGCCTAGAATAGACACTGCTTCATTATAAGCTTCATGTACATCAATACAGAATTCAATGAGAAACAAATTGTTGAAAATCATTATTATCATATACACCAGTTGAAGTAAAGAAACTAATTAGGGTTTTTTAGCTCAATTATTGTAATAATGCACCAGTCATTTGTAAACATGAATACAAATCTAAAGGAATAGCAGGGACTTATGTAAATGCAATATGGGAATAAGATATTGTAATTAAACTTGGTATATAGCAAGCTTATATGAATACCATATTGTAACTTCACACATGTCTGAGATCATAATTATCACTGTCCAAGGCATTATGACTCTGATTTGAATTTTGACAGATAAATAGTCCTTTGTGATCTTAGAAAATTCCTAATAATATTTTTGAATGCAATATCAATCTTCATTACTTAAATTTTGAATGCAATATCAATCTTCAAAACTAATGTACATATTCTAATTCACCTTAACCTAAATTCATGCCTTTTGGATCATAATTGTCACTTTTGAAGACCCATAACATTGAAATGGAGTTTGGCTAAATTATGGCCCTTTGTGAACATAAAAAAAAATTTTGGTAAAAAATACCAGGGTCACTATCGAAGACTTTTCACTATATCATGTTTTTTTTAGCTCACCTGAGCTTGCTCAGGGTGAGCTTTTAGGATCGATGAATGTCCGTCGTCCGTCCGGCCGTCCACAATTGCTTGTGAACACTCTAGCGGTCGCATTTTTGCCTCAATCATCATCAAACTTGGTCAGGATGCTTATCTAGTTGAAAGCTCGGATGAGTTCGAACATGGGTCATCTCAGATGAAAAACTAGGTCACAAGAGCTAAAAATAGAAAAACCTTGTGAACACTCTAGAGGTCACATTTTTGACCCAATCTTCAATCAAACTTGGTCAGGATGTTTGTCTAGGTGATAGCTCGGATGAGTTCGAACATGGGTCATCTCGGATGAAAAAGTAGGTCACAGGAGCTATAAATAGAAAAACCTTGTGAACACTCTAGTGGTCACATTTTTTGAACCAATCATCATCAAACTTGGTCAGAATGCTTGTCTAGTCAATTGCTTGGATGAGTTCGAACATGGGTCATCTCTGATGAAAAACTAGGTCACAGGAGCTAAAAAATAGAAAAAACCTTGTGACCACTCTAGTGGTCACATTTTTGACCCAATCATCATCAAACTTTGTCAGGATGCTTGTTTAGATAATAGCTCGGATGAGTTCGAATATGGGTCATCTCTGATGAAAAACTAGGTCACCGGAGCTATAAATAGAAAAACCTTGTTAACACTCTAGCGGTCACATTTTTGCATCAATCATCATCAAACTTGGTCAGGATGCTTATCTAGTTGATAGCTTGGATGAGTTCGAACATGGGTCATCTCGGAAGAAAAAGTAGGTCACTGGAGCTAAAAATAGAAAAACCTTGTTAACACTTTAGCGGTCACATTTTTGCATAAATCATCATCAAACTTGATCAAGATGCTTGTCTAGGTAATAACTCGGATGAGTTCGAACATGGGTCATCTCGGATGAAAAACTAGGTCACAGGAGCTAAAAATAGAAAAACCTTGTTAACACTCTAGTGGTCACAATTTTGACTCAATTGTCATCAAACTTGGTCAGGAAACTTGTCTAGGTCATTGCTGGAACAAATCGAACATGGGACATCTCGGATGAAAAACTAGGTCACAGGAGCTAAAAATAGAAAAATCTTGTTAACACTCTAGTGGCTACTGTTGTGATCCAAATATTCTGTTAATTGGTCTGAAAGTTTGTTTTGATGATTTCTAAGTCAAGATCGAACATGGGTCATCTTGGATGAAAAACTAGGTCACACCGCCCAAATATGGGTAAACCTTGTTAACATTCTAGTGGTCACATTTTCGACTCCATTATCATCAAACTTGGTCAGAATGCTTGTCTAGGTAATTGCTTGGATGAGTTCGAAATCGCATGTGAAACTAGGTCACCGGAGCTAAAAATAGAAAAATCTTGTTAACACTCTAGTTGCTACTGTTTTGATCCAAGTATCCTGGAAATTGGTCTGAAAGTTTGTTTTGATGATTTCTAGGTCAAGTTTGAATATGTGTCACCTGGGTAAAAAACTAGGCCGCACTGCTCAAATATGGATAATCCTTGTTAACACTGTAGTGGTCACATTTTTGACTCACCTGTCATGAGACTTGGTCAGAATGCTTGTCTAGGTAATTGTTTGGATGAGTTTGATAATTCAGGTGAGCGATCTAGGGCCATCATGGCCCTCTTGTTTGTTTTTGTTTTGTTTTTGTTTTTAATGAAATCTGCCTCTTAATTTCTACACTATCCAATGTCTTATTTTCTTGTAAAGTGTTGAGAATAGTGGAGCATACTGTCTTACAGACAGCTCTTGTTTCTTGTATTTGTCTATAGACATTTTGATTTGCTTAAGGAAAACAAGTTTAATACTTCTATTTATAATTATTCATCTTTTTTATTAAAGTAGAAGAAAACAAAGAATCTTGCCCAGATACACAATCGGTGAAGTGTTCAACTGACATTGATCTCACTGAGTTACAGATCAAGCTTCTGAAAGTCACAGATGAAATCTGTGAGCTTGTTGGTCACATGACTGTTGCAGATATGATGTCATGTTTTAAAAGTAACTTCCGTCATGTTCAAGACCTTCTTTTAAAAAGGTAGGCATGGATTTCATTTTGTTAAACATCTCAGATCACAGGAATCCTAATCTAACATTAAGTTATCCTAGTTCTCTATAAAGAAATAGTTTAACAATGTTTAGATCAAGTTAAGCCCCAGTGGTCAAGGTTTTAAGTATGGACTAAAAACTTATTGTTTCTAATCTTAAGTTTTCTAATTCGTCTTAAAGAAAAGTCAGTATTACCAGTTATTTGAATTATCTTGAAATCTGTAAATTAGTTTAACAAAAACTTCATAATTTGAACTTATTTAATATTAGAATAGAGAAAATAGGAGAGGATTCTACATGTATATTTAGATGATTTTATATGTTGTTCGATGATAAGTATATTGTATAACAAGGTAAGTGAACTAAATGGGGAGGCTTTGGATTTAAGAAAAAGTCAACATAATTTCTTCATCTATGTTTTTCAGGTCAGGTTTAAAACAGCAGGCTGGCACTGCAGATCTATTTCAGAAACAGACCATTCAGTTTGGAGATAAAAAACCTTTAGTTCAACACGATTCTGTCAGGACAGTAGACAATACAGTACAGTATAGACAGAAGACTTTGACTCCTGTGAGTTTGAACAAAGTTTGTCAGCAACCTATCACCAGTACAGTACAAAAACCATCAGCTACCTCACGTTTATCAAACAATGGTGGTAAACTGGGATCGCCAATTCCATGTGGTGACAGTTTCTTTGAGGAAGATGCTCTCTTGACTCAAACACATGTAAATTTCATGTCCCGATTTAATAAACATTCAATGAATGGATCACTCGATGTTTCTAACACATCAAGCACTACCTCCACCCCTGTGTCATTTCCTAGACCAAAATCAACCCCATTATGTTTAAGTCAGAAAAATAGTGTACGAAACTACCCTGAAAATACTCCAAAAATAAATTTCAATAAATCAAATAATGTGATGAACATTTCTTCCGACGCATCATTTATTTCTCCTAACAGACCAATCATATCACACCAGAACTGTGTCAGACAATCGACATCTGTTGTTAATTCAGGTGACTGTGAACCGGACATGTTCGATAGTATTGATGAAGAAATGAATTTTAACATGGCTGAGGAATTTGATTTTGGTTACAACATTGCTAACCAGTCTGTACCGACTAAACAGACAGCGAACCAGTCTAGAAATAATGGTGTAAATGGAGATAATGTTAGCTATTCAGTTGAGGATTATTCAAAGGATGAATTAATTGATGAATTTGATGATGATGATGAAGACTTTAACCAGATTGTGTCATCGCAAGAAAGTTTACCTCAGATTTCAGTGTTAAAGAATTCAAGACATTCCATCGGTGGGTTGTTTTATTTTATATTCATGATTTATTATGCATAATTCTCTTTCATTGTCATTCATAAAAGATGTTTGGATGTAAGAGATTTATGTCCATTTCCCAGCTGGAAGCCAATATCTAAGTTTGAAAGTAGTACCGGATTGTTGTATAGAGGTCATTCTGATTGGGTAATGAATATTTAGTCATTAAATATTTTTTGTCAACATTGGAAAATCTTTTACTCTTAAGCCTGCTCCGGTATCAGTCTGATAATGCACTAGTGTATCTGATACTATACAGATGGTCACTTGGTTTTTCCCAACCAGTACAGCTACCAAACTGCCTTATGAGCTTTATGTAAATGAGATGAATTAAAACCCAACTGCAAACATAGATATCTTAATTATTAATGCATAATCTTTTCTTATAAATAAAGCAACAAAAATAATTTGGGTTATCATATAGGATCCAATTTTACAATGCATTGCATATTCAAAATACATACATTTACAACTACTGTAACCCAACGAATATTCGCGACCAATTAATATTCGCTTTATTCGCGGATGGCTACGAAGCGCGAATATTTGTTTGCGCGAATAAGTCCGCACGATTTCGCGAATAAATTGGAGAGAAATTTTTATTTTAGACGTTGTTCATGCAAAGCTACTTGACCGGACATATTCGAATTTTACGGGCACCTGTTAGGAAGTAATGAATTGTTATGAATATTGCCATAAAGCAATAAAAACACAAACTAAGTAAACTACTACTATTTTATAAATATCAAAAGAACTCTATGTCAATATAGCAATAAAAATAAACATCCACATTTTAATACTATTAAATATAATAATAAATGTTTGAATAAATCGTTTGACAAAAGTGGGAAAACTATCGAGCATCACAAAAGGCTATTGATTTTTTGATCCTATAAAATAATTGTTTGAGTGAATTGTTAAGACAAAGGTGGTATAACCCTATCGAGCATCACAAAAGGGTATTGGGTGTACATAATTACAAACAGTGAAATACAAAATGGTTTCATACTAGTATCGATTTTTACCCGTCAAACTTAACAGCCTGTATTATAACATAATTTTCTCGGCGTGGGTTCGATCCCTGATTGGAGAAGGTATTTTTTATGAAACGCTTAAATTGAATTTCTTAAAGACTTTTCTAAATAAACGGTGGGTACAAAATATAAATATGTTATAGAAATAACGACATGTTTAGAAATGAAGACGAACGATGCGTACATGTACATATATAGAGAAAATGTGTTGCTGAATTTTGATCACAATTCACTTACCAATACAATATAAGGCTAGCGTATTGTTAATCCCATTTAAGACACCAATAATGACCTAAATTATTGAAGATTAATAGTCGGCTAATGGATTTTACGGCCCCATCGGACTTTCCAATCCGCGAATATTTTTTGTCGAGATTCAAGAAAACGCGGAAATTAATATTCGCGAATATGTCCGACCTCGGCAAAACGCGAAAATTTGTATTCGCGAATATAAATTGGGTTACAGTAATTGGACATCATGAAAATAAGAATCTTCTGTTCATGATAGGATCAGCAAGAAATTCAACAAGTTTAGTCAAAGAAACTCCTGAAGAGAATAATGAATATGCTGGTTATGCATTTGACCACAGTCGAGAAATGGTGAAAGTATTTAACATGGTGTTTGGTCTTCAGAAATTTAGACGTCATCAGCTAGAAGCTTGCAATGCTGCTCTTCTCCAGAATGATACATTTGTTCTTATGCCAACAGGTAAAGAAAATATTTACATTAATTTTGTCATACATTTATGTGAGCTAACATGATTACCACAATAAGGGAAGTGGTTGTTTCTAGTCCACGTACCTATAGGCCACTAAAGTTATGAGTATATGTAGCTTGACATCAAACAAATTGCAACACAAGCTTTCTTTAGTATTTTGCAATCAATATATATGCATGGACCTTGTAGTAAAACCCTAAAAGAATATACATGTTGGTTATTGCTGGTTATTGACCAATCAAATACTTGAGATCTGAGTTTTAGCACAGAAAATTTCTTTATTAGAGTTAAACTACAGAACTAGAATAAAGTTTGACTATCTGAAACTTTGTGGATGCTATCTTACTCACCTATGCATCATCGTAACACTGGTTAAAACTGGCTAAACTGTCACTAGTATATGAAAAATGAAATATAAGGAACACCTATCTGACTGTAAGACTGGTAAGGTGTTAAGGACTACATTATTGCCAGATACATCGTGTATAGTGAAATTTTTTATCTCATATTTCAGGAGGTGGGAAAAGTCTTTGTTACCAGTTACCAGCCCTTGTGTCTGGTGGTGTTACAATAGTTGTCTCCCCTCTTAGAGCCCTGATTCAGGATCAAGTTCAAAAATTGAATTCTCTTCAGGTGAGAGTAAATTTTCACAAGGAAAATATGAAGATTATGTAATTTTTGTCTATACTCATACAGGGCTCACGCTGTCAGTCGCCATGGTCGCCATTTGCGATTATTTTATAAAGATGGCGAATATTTTTTCATTTTGGCGAAAGAAACTGGCGATTATTTTATAATCATCCTCCATATTTTTTTTCGGCGCTCATAATTGTAGCGAAGTGTGAAAATCGATAAAGGTTGCATACCTCTACTGCAGTAGCGGTGTTTATTAATAACACGTGTCGATTATTATGTTGATTGTTATCGCCAGAGGCGTGTATTTCGGGCGTGACAAACAAATAGCAGGGGTACTTTAAAAATATACCGATTTGCGGTATATCAATAAAACAATTAAAGTTAATTAGCATCGGCCTTCATATTCATGTTGATACTTTAATCGAACTGCCCGTAAATTGGTCTAATTACAATTATTTCATCTTTTAAACAAATTATTGTACAAGGGTGTCTGATTGAATCGCCAGTGAAAAACAATGATAATTTACTCAAAAAATATTAACAATATAAAGGTAAAATGTGGACAATCCGAATTAGTGATCCTTTTTCTGTCAAAATGGGTCGTCCTAAACGTAAGTTATCGCCACTAAAAAGTGACTTGAAAGTTAGGAAATTAAGTGCATTTGGATTTTGTAAAGATCGTGAGTTACAAAGTGATAGTGCTGAAAATAAGGTTGATGTAAATAATGGAGAAATTTGTTCTTACGAAGAAAGGCAGTTAGATAAAAGTGTTGAAGTTAAATTACCTAAACAAAATGAGAAAATAATCAGGAAATTCAGGCCAGAATGGAAGCACACTAGAGACTGGCTAGAATATGACGCCAAAAATAAATTAATGTTTTGCACAGTGTGTAGAAATGCCAAGATGGTAAATTCTTTTGTAAGTGGATGTTCCAGTCTTAAAATTGAAAACATACGATCGCATGAAAATCCAAAGGGAAAAAAAGTTGGTAAGTTGATATTTAGAACTACAGTAGATCTATGTACACCTCATTTAAAAAATGGTCGTGTGATGCAAATGTTCTATTCGTGAAATAAAATGTTTTGAATGTTGGTTTGACAATAAAAAAAAAGCTTTAGGTATCAAAAATGGTAACTTAGACATTAATGTACATTAAAACAAACGAAACGAAATAAAATGAACAGACGGTTTTTTACTTTGTCACATGTTTTCGCGACATATAAAAAACAATAGTAAATATAACATTAAGTTCAATGATTATACATTTGTAGTTTATTTAACATTTTTTGCTGCTTTTAAAAGATATTAATTTAGATGTACATGATATGTAGATCTTAACTTAAAAATTATTTGCATTTTTAATTTTATTCATTAGGAGAGATAGATAGATAGATAGATAGATAGATTTATTTCGGCATAAAGGTAAACATGTTACATGATAAACAAACACAATATAGATTAAAACAATTACAAATAAATAAATAAATAAATAAATAAATGAATAAATACTATATTATGTAAACCATGACATGTTCCCAAAACCAAGGATAACACAAAAAAGAGCAAGCTCTTATTTCCATTGTGGTCCTTAGCATTTGGTGGCATGACATAGAGAGGTATTTCATAAAAGAAAAAAAAATATCACAAATTATAAGATAAATCACATTAATGAAGGATATCATTTAAAATCATCACAATTTAAGATGTAAGGTATTGTAAATAAAAAGTCATTATCACATTAAGAAATAAGTATGTGCGTGCATAGTAAGAAAGGATTACATTAAAAAAAAAAAAAAAAATATCACAGTTGTTATGAGTATGTAAGGAAAGAACATGCCATAGATTACACTATTCAAAAAAAGATAAAGTTTTTAAAGTCTTAATAAAAAATTTAAACAAATATCAAAAAATGAAACAGTAAACCTGAGCCGAAAAATAATTCACTAAAATAATGAAAACATAAAATTTTCTTTCAAGAAATTTTAAGAAAGACACTTAGATGCTACTTAGAGAATAGTCATATACGTGCTCTTGAAATAATGAAGGAAACAAAAGAATATGAGACAGCAAGATCCAAACAACTACAATCATCTGAAGCAGCTGTGATAGGGGCAATGAAGAATGTAGCCTTTATGGCTTCCCATGATCTTCCCAACAGTATAATGACTGATCTAAACGAACTCTGTAAAGAGCAGGTGTGTACACTAACTAATTTTTTTTCATTGTCTTACTATATAATGAGTGGTGATTAAGGGGTCACTCTGACTACATGACAATTTTGTTGTTGAGTTCGTCTGGAAAGATGGACATACTTTTATTATAATAGAATTAATAACTGATTAAGTCACATGAAGCAGACTGGAGAGAGGTTCATTATTCATTACTATCAAGCTGAAATACATTTATAACATGTGATTAGAAGATGATTCAAAATCTCTTATAAACATTTATAAATTAATTGTTCTCTAAACTTATAATGTACTTGTAAAACTGGTATATATACACTTAAGTCTTCATACTTAGATAGCTATATTAGTGTTGTATAAAATAATAACTTTTTAATAAATTAGGCTGTATTTTTTTCTAATTTTATCTTACATTGTTTTAGGGAGCATCCCATCTGAAGTCTCTGAAGTGTGATGACCATACATCATATGAACATAATTCGTCTGTGAGTGAATTTCAGAAGGCAATTTCAGAAGTTATTACTGATGAACTTGTTGATGCAATTAAGAAATCACCCTATTTCAGTGTAACTTTAGATGAGTCCACAGACATTGGTGTGAAACAAAACTTGATTGTTTATGTCATGTATCTTGTGAAAGAAAAGGGTAAAATGATAAGTAAGAATGATTTTGTAGGTATTGTTCATTTAGACAAAGGTGCCACAGCCCAGAACATTTTTGATGCATTAATTGATCTTTTAACCAAGAGAGGTATAGATTGTACTAAGTTAGCTGGTGTAGCAACTGATGGAGCAGCAGTTATGACAGGGAACAAGTCTGGAGTGGTTCAGAGAGTAAAAACCCACAATCCTGGTGTATTGTCAGTTCACTGTATAGCTCACAGGCTTGCACTTAGTTCAGGTGGTGCAGCCGACAGTATTATGTACCTTGTCAAGTTTCAGGAAATTGTTAATGCATTGTATAAATACTTTGAATACTCTCCTAAACATGCCAATTGTTTGAAAGATATGCAGGTTATTCTAGATCAGAAGCAGAAATTGAAGTTAAAACAAATATTTCATACCAGATGGCTTTCATTTGATGGTGCCTTGCAAGCTGTTATTTGTAATTACAGTAGTTTGTTGTCTGTATTGTTAGCTGATAAGAGTGCAAAAGCTGCAGGTCTTGTAAAGTCTTTGTCAACTTACAAATTTTTGTACACAGCACATTTTCTGTCAGATGTCATGCATTACCTTTGTCGCCTGAGTAAATCTTACCAGTCATCAGACATAAATTTCACTTCTGTCTATTCTTTGCTTGAGAATACAATCTGCAAGATTAAATCTCTTGAAAATGGCTCTGGAGAAAACATTACTGCCTTCCTCAAGTCTGTTCCTAATGCCCCAGTTGAGTCCGATATCCAAGGTATTTTTGAATTTGAATTTGGAAGTCATTTAATTAAAGATTCTGAAAAGCAGAGGAAGGAGGCCAGAGATATTTGTATTCAATTTTGTGAAAAAGTTCAAAACAATCTAAAAACAAGGTTTGATCCAACAGGTGACAGTGCTGTCCTTACAGCAATTAGTAATGTTTTAGACCCCAGAGTCATTGCCAAGTTAGATGAAGCAGATTTCAGACAGAAAATAGAAACAGAAGTGAATGTTATTTCTGGTTTTTTTAAGAAAACAAATCCTGAAAGCAACCTTCATTCAGAAACTTTTGATTTTTTTGACTTTGTAAAGTCCAATGACAGGAGATTCACTTTAATGAATAGTGTAGATGACATGTGCCAGTATGCCATCACAGAAAATGTGCTGTTCCCTGGGCTTGCTGATGTAGCCCTTAGGTTTCTTGTTACCCCTGTCTCAACTGTAGATTGTGAGAGGGGGTTCAGCAGACACAATTTGATAAAAACAAAAACAAGAAATTGTCTTAAAACAGAAACTGTTGAAAACCTTATGATGATTTCCATAAGGAAGCCTGCTTTTGACTTCCCTTTCCACTTAGCATTTAAGAAGTGGGTGGATGTCAAGAAAAGAAGGATAATATAAACATTGTGTGAGAAAGAAACTGTTCAATGTAGCATCATTGTTATATTTGTCTGTGAAATGTGCATTGTAAAAGGTTGAAATGTTAATTTACTCATTGTGAAATGTTCAGATTGAAACTGTATACATGTATGTGCTTGTAGTTACTGAAGCATTATAATGATTATTGTCATTCATATAATGCTTAAAGGAAACTTATGTGCTTAATGCCTTAAATAAGATTGAAGGTATTGAAAATGTTAAATGTATTTAAAAGATATAACTATCAATACTTATTGTTATTGTTCCTCCATGATATATTTATATGAAAACATGATGAAAATAAAATTATTACATAAGCCAACAGTGTATGTTGTCAATCACAGCACCATTAAAAAAAGTCCGTCGCAGTTTTGGCTATAATTTTTTAAAATGTTAAAATGTTGGCTATTATTTTTACAAAGCCAGTGTGAGCCCTGCTCATATATTTCTTAGGAAAGGTACTGATGTCCATTACTCTTGTATGGGCTCTGTCTAAGTCACAATCCTTTAAACTGTTGTTTGAATGTTTATTAATTTTTCTAGTATTGTCAAATACTAGTACATGTAGTTGCAATTCTTGCAAACTGGAAATCCCTCTGTAAATGAGAGATAATGGAAATTTCAAGACCTCTAATGTCCCATAGAACCAGATTTAGTAGTATTATTTAGTTCTCAACACGGAAATGTATTTAAATCACTGATCCCAAATGATCAAAAGAATATATCTTCTGAAATTAATTAGATTCGTTTTATTTAGTTATAAATGTGAATTGTTCATCATTACAATTTTTTTGTCATGCAGACTCTACTAACATGTTTATCTTCACTGAAGTTTAAGACAATTTTTGTAATATATACATTTTTATAAGGTAATATTTAGGTAATATAAAGATGGTTTTATAAATGTAGGTACCAGCAGGGCATTTGTCCAGTGATGTAAGTCTTAGTGAAGCTGACATGCTTTACAGAAAGTTATACAAGAGAGTGCCGGAGATACGGCTACTTTATGTTACACCAGAAAAAAAAAAAAAAAAAAAAAAAAAAAAAAAAAAAAAAAAAAAAAAAAAAAAAAAAAAAAAAAAAAAAAAAAAAAAAAAAAAAAAAAAAAAAAAAGGTTAGTTGTTACCCTTCACTGTATGTTTTATATAGAAATGTATTATACATTCATTGATATATCTGTGAATTTAAACAAACCAATCTTTGTCTGGAATCAGAAAAAAAGGTCACATGTAAAACTCAAATTCTAGAATATAGGTGCTCAGCCACAAACTACAAAGTTGTTAGGCCATAGAGGTTTAAGGCCACAAAGTATAAAGTTGTAAGGCCAAAAAGTATAATGGCATAAGGTCACAAAGTATAAGGATGTAAGGCCATAAAGTATTGAAAATGCAATGCCACAAAATATAATGGTGTAAGACCATAAAGAATTAAAGTTGTAAACTGTAAAGAATTAAAAGTGTAAGGCCACAAAGAATAATGCAGAGTAAGGACTATTGAAATTACCTGTAAATAATTAAATATGAAAATAATTTAATGAATTGAAAGCAGAACAAGATTTTTAAGGTATTATGTATTTATTTGATGACTTCTGCAATAAAGATATTTATAATTTGTTTATATATTTTATTAATTTATAGCTGTCTGCAAGTGAGAAGTTATTGAGTGTTTTAGAGAACCTGTACAGTAGAAAAGTGTTGGATAGATTTGTTATAGATGAAGCTCACTGTGTCAGTTCGGTAAGTGTTGATTTAAAAGCCCTTACAAGATGAATAGTTACATCTTAATGTCTTAGAGCAAGGGCCAGTAATAACAGATGTATGCCTTCATTGGAAAGTCATGCCAGCCTGTAATATGTCAACTATGTTTATGTCAGTCATGCAGTTCAGATTTGGTACCATTTACTACTTAATTTTTGTACTTTGGAATTAAAATCTGTTAAAATTTTATCAGATTGTTCATAATTTAACTCAAATCTTTTATGCAAATTTAGCAAAGTATGTGATATTAATGATATAGCAAAAGAATGATTCAATTTACAATAAAGAGTAGGGTTTTTTTTTTAGTGAAAGCAGAACTGTAAAGGTCATTTATATGGTTACTTTCCAGTTTTACTGGAATTCCTGCATGATCAAAGCATACACATTCTAATTCAAATGCATATTGTACAAGGATGGAATAAGAACAACATGTGTATTGTTACCATCTTTGTTTATATAAGAATATCTCCAGTAGTGTTTCTGTTAACAGTCTATAGATGGATAAGCTTCAAGTCACGTCTACATTTATTGTATTTAGATAAAAAGAGTAACTTGTAACTATTAAGTATTATAGAGAGCTTTGGATGAAATTAATTTCCTAGAAATAAACTTATGGTAGTTTATTATGAACATGTTGTCATCAAAATAAATTAATTGTTGGCTTTTACAATGTTAAAGCTATGTTTTTATTTCAGTGGGGACATGATTTTCGCCCTGATTACAAGAAGTTGGGAGTATTAAAGACAAAGTTTCCTGGTGTGCCACTGATGGCACTTACTGCTACAGCCACAATGAGAGTTAGAAAAGATATCTGTCATCAACTTCACATGAAAGATCCTAAATGGTGAATTTATCTTCTTTTTATATCAAAGAAAAGACAAAAGACAAACATATTTGTACATACAAACTGTAAGAAAGCAGCTCTTTTGCTAGAGTTTTGAATTTTATTCTGCGATGAAATGGCATAATTTGAGTTACAACCTTTTCCTATACAGTCAATCTTGCCCATGCGACCACGTGTATTAAGCGGTCATTTGTACTAAACGACCATTTTGAAATCCTCCCGTCGATAATCCCTATATAATTGCGTTGTGCTCAACGACTTTTGTCTTACGCGACCAGCGGCCATTCAAAGGCGGCAAATTTATTGATCTTTTTTGCTTTAAGCGACCGTAAAATAATAATATATCACAAATTGTCACTAATTTGTATAATAAAGGTCGACATACAATAGGTGCGAACGTCTGTAAACAAGTGCTAATTGCCATCCGCTTAAAAACTGTAAAGTAATAACCATGCATTATCGACTAATTAAAACGGCCTTCAATGACCGCATGCAGCCAATCACGATTAAGCTTTCTATTTACGGTTAGCGTGAAGGACCGCCTTTTTTCCTCTGCTCTGTGTAATTTAACCTTGTGTAGACTTTCATGAGCATATTCTATTTACATCTTAACATATTGTCGGTGTTGTACAAATTAATAATACGTCGTATAAAAATTGGATTATTTTGTGAACAGTGATAAATAGCTAACATTTGGATTATTTACTGTAAAATAATGTCGAAACGTAAAGTGCTGACTTTGGACGAACGCGTCTGTGTATTGGAACTGTCAAAAAATAAAAGTGCTCGAAAAATAGCCGATGAACTAGGTGTTGGGAAAACACAAATACAAAACATTCTGAAAAGAAAGGCGGAAGTATTGGAGGATGTGGAAAATAACGTTTCTGGGCACCGAAAACGTCTGAGACACACAACTGGAAATGAGGACATAAATGACCTTGTGTTCAAATGGTTTACAGATGTAACCGCCAGAAGAATGCCTGTGTCTGGTCCGCTTCTGCAGGCACAAGCTCTAAGATTTGCTCAAGAGTTGGGTGTTGAAACATTCAAAGCATCAACTGGGTGGTTAGCGTCTTTCCTTAAGAGAAATAATATTGTGTTAGGGACTATGTCTGGTGAAAGGGGAGATGTTGACAATGATGTTGTGAATGACTGGAAGTCAAAGCTACCAAATATCTGTGCTGGATACCATCCAAAAGACATATTCAACATGGACGAAACAGGGTTATTCTACAGAGATACAACCAGGAAGTCCTACCATTTTGAAAGGTAAAACAAAAAATATATCTACTAAGCAATGATTTTAGCAGGTCTAAAATTATTATCTTAGAAAAAGAAGAAAAAAATTATCAAACTTTATCTATACCACACTCCTCCCAACTTTATATCTAAAATAAGAGTTAAAATGTCTCGGACACTGATAATGTATTTGAAAAAAGCTAAACCATTATTCAACCAACATAGATGAAATTTCCATCCATATTTAAATCTTAAAAGTTCTACATAACTAAATCTGCGATTAAATCAAATGCACAACACTGATTATTTTTACATATTTTTCACACTAAATTTAAAAAAGTTATAAAATCAAATTCCAATCACATGTAAAATTTTTTATTGCTGTATGTCTTTATGTATTAATTATTAATTGCAGGAGATGAGCTAGCCGGTGGGAAGCGCTCTAAAGAGAGAATAACGGTAGCATTGTGTGCTTCCATGTCTGGTGAAAAGCTTAAGCCTCTAGTGATAGGCAAGTCCGCCAAACCGAGATGTTTCAGCAGGATAAAACCAGAAAGACTCCCAGTTACATATAGAAACAATAGGAAGGCATGGATGACTTCCGAGCTCATGATAGACTGGCTGAAATCGGTTGATCGTCAGATGAAAAGGTCAGGTCGTCACATTCTCATGTTCTTGGATAATGCTCCAGCTCATCCCAAGGTGACTTTAGACAATATCAAGTTAGTATTTCTTCCTGCTAATACTACGTCTGTTGCTCAGCCCATGGACCAAGGGATTATTCAAACCCTCAAACTGAAATACCGTAGTCGTCAGCTTAAATACATTCTAAGTCAAATGGAACATAGTGATAAAGTAGGTTCCACAATTCTTAGGGAGATATCAATTCTTGACGCAATCTACTGGATAAACGGGTCGTGGAAAGAAGTTGAAGCTTCTACTATTCAGAAGTGTTTCGCAAAATGTGGTTTCACTCAATTCAATGTGCAGGTAGATAATATTGACTGTGATGATAAAAGTGATAATGATGATGATGAGGTGCCACTTGCAGTTCTAAGACTGAGCAATGAGTTGTTTGGATGTACATTTAGTGACTTAGTGGACATTGATAAAGCAGTTCCAACATTTGACTTAAACACTGTTAACTGGGATAGGAATGCACGGGATATGATAAAAGAAATCAGAGACAGTAATAATGATGATGATGATGATGATGACAATGATGATATTCAAGAGACAGGTGCTATTATTAGTATGAGTGATGCAAATGAGATGTTGTATAAATTGAAAGAATTAGCATTGAGCAAAGGTCAAGACAAATGGCTCGAAAGCATAATGACTTTACAGGACAGTTTTGTGAGTTGTAGAGCTGAGGTTGATACAAAGCAATCAAAGATTAGTGACTTTTTCAAGTAAAGAGATGGTTACCATGAACTGTATTAAAAGTTATAAATAAAGGATAGTGCTACATTATTCACAATTCCAATGTAGCAAATGTAATTTTTGTAGAAAAAAAGTTATTATTGTAGCTTTATTGCTTGATGTTGTTGACTCATTAAAACAGATTATTAAAATAAAGTAATAAATTTATTAATTCATATCAGATCTTTTATATGTAAATGTCTTAATTTTCAAAGAATGTTGGAATATATGATGAAATAAAAATATTAAACTTTTAAACTGTTTCATTTCCTGGTTATGTTTTATTGATATTAGTTCATGCTATGACCCGTGAAAAATTGGTTGGAAAACCTAGTTTTGCATTAAGAGACCGTTTTATTAAGAGACCACTTTTGACCTCACCCTTGAGCGGTCTCTTATTACAAGATTGACTGTACTTTTGTTTCTTCATTGAATTCAGATAGTGTTAAATGTAATAACTTCTCTTTGGATGTAGTTTTTATGCCCCCACTACTTGGTGGGGGAGGGGGGGGGGGAGTATAGAATGGCCCTTGTCCATCCCTCTGTCACACTGTCAGTCCATTGACTGACAATGACAAAAAAGTGAAATGTTAGGGTATTCATGTCCTATGGACACATTTCTTGTTTTAAAGTATGCAAAGCCAATTTTTTGTAGTGTTAAATTGTTAGAGACTGGATTTAGAATGAAGAGAATTTACTTCAGTCAGTTCAGGTAGAAGTAAAACAAGGTATTAGCAATGTCTCTTGAAAGTTAGTTTCTTCTTGTTTTCAATTACTTAATACATTTGAATATAATTAAATACTTTAATAATTTTTCTGTATACAGGTTTACATCAAGCTTTAACCGGCCAAATCTGAAGTTTGAAGTTCGACCTAAGAAACCTTCAACAGCTACAAATGACATCATTAAGATGATCAAAGATGATTTCCCTGGGAAATGTGGAATTGTTTATTGTCTTTCAAGGTAAACTAATCTTTGTACAGCAAATGTTTGTTTAATATTATTTCCTGCCCCTACATGGACTGACCAATTATGGCATGTTGCTTCTGTCTTCTCTGTTTATTTGTCTGCATACAATTCAAGTTTGCCATGACATCTTCATTTCATAAGATATAGCCGTCCAGGTTTGACAGAAAATATCTTTGAATTAGAGCTTCATTTGGATTTTTTGACTATTAAATGACATATTCCATCAAGAAAAATAAAAAAATCCTTTAACTACTGCTTTTTCCTCCTACTTCGCACATTAAATAGAGCTTTTGATTTGTAATTCAGGAGTCACTGGTTCAATCCTCGGTCATGGTGAAATTATTCCATTACAAGTGATCTTGGACATTGAATCATTTGATTCCCACGGCTGATTCAGAAATTATGTGAGATAAGTAGTTGGTCACTTGCAGAGAAATTGATAATTACTGGTTAGTTATCCGAAATGCCAATATACGACTTAAAATATGTTAAAACCAGTGTGTAAACCAACCAATTTCTGATATTTATTTATAGATTAGTTGTTTAGAATCAAAGAAAGTCAATAGAAGGTTTATTTTAAAGTATAAACCCAGGCGTACCTTTTACTCCAGCTTGTTGTACTAAAAGATAATATGCATTTGTTAAAATTACAGGAAGGAATGTGATGATGTAGCGAAGGCATTAAGTAAAGCAGGTATATTATCAGTATCGTATCATGCTGGACTGACGGATGGAGAGAGAACTATGATACAGGAAAAATGGATCCAGGGTAACAGATGTAAGGTCAGTATAGGCAAATCAATTAGGCAGTTTGGGTAGATTAATTAGGGCTCTTATTTAACACTTGCAAACCTTTACAAAGCAAACAAAATATGAGAAAAGCAAAGGCATAAAATGTAAATATATACATAAATTGTTGCCAATTTTAAAGGATAAAAAATGGTTAAAAAAATTAAAGATATCAGAAAGTTCATTTTAGTTTTTGCAAGTTAAATGTTAAAACTAGCAAAAATTTACAAAAGAAGTTACATTCTTGCCCTGTGAAGTATGTGATGGTTTAACATTTATTATAAAACTGTTAAATTTGTCCACTAAGAGATGACATAATGTGATCAGGAGCACTTTAAAATTAATTCAACTTACAACTGATACTTAGTTTCAAAAGAATTGATACTTCTAGAATAAAGATACAGATAAATGTCGTATGTTACAATGTTTTTGTGTTACAGGTAATATGTGCAACGATTGCCTTTGGTATGGGTATAGACAAGCCGGACGTCAGGTTCGTGATCCACTACTCTCTACCTAAATCTGTGGAAGGATATTACCAGGAGGCGGGTCGTGCCGGACGTGACGGTCTCCTAGCATACTGTATACTACTGTACACATACCAGGATGTTAAACGTCTACGTAGAATCATAGAAAGTAGGCAGTTTAAATCAATTATATTTTAAATTTGAAACTGTTTTCCTCTTTTAAAATCATATTTCACTGTATGTTACATATTTAATAGTTAACTATTGAGCGTTAATACAAATATATCTATATAAATGAATAGTGTCAATGTTTTTAAAGTTTCTTGTAGCTTGTTGAAGTGTACGTCTAAAGCAGCTTGGTCATTTTCTTTTCGTTTTTTGTTTGAAATGAATGCTTCTGTTGACAGCAGCAACTTAAAGTACGCTTTTCTGCTGTTTTGACAGTATTAAAGTATTTCATGAGTTATATTTTGTTGTAGCACAGAATTCTTAAATATTCCAAACATATATATGAGATTCTGATGAAAAAATAAACCTTAAGAAAGGAAAAACCTCAAAACAACTGAAATGAAACCACAAGAAGAAAGATGAATTAATAAAAAATATGAATGTTTTATATGCTTTTCTAGCATTTAATTGTAGAATGTAGTCATGGACAACAAAGCAAAGTGAATGTTTTTGAATTGATTGATATAATATGATAATAGTTCATTAGTGTATGGTACAATAATAAATTATTGTAGTGCATGTGGTAACATTATGGTTACAAGATTTATATATAATTACAGTGGATCAGAGTGCTACGTACGAGTCCAAGCGTGTTCATATAGACAACTTGTTCAGGATGATTCAATACTGTGAGAATGTAGCCGACTGTCGCAGGTCTCAACTTCTCACTTATTTTGGAGAGATGGGGTTTGACAGAACTCAGTGCAGTCAAGTTAAACAAGCTATATGTGATAATTGTGTCTCAAAGGTAATTATACTGGTACATGTATACTGTATATGTTGATATTTCCGCATGTCGAAAAGTTAGCAAATTTTAAATTCCAGACATTTCGCATGAGGAAACATCAGTGAATCGTGCAAATTGAAATGAATGACAGGTTGGTTGATATTTACACTTGAGGAAATTTTAGCGATTTTTGTCAGTTTGCGAAAAACGCCAATATTTCTGCATCGCTAACTTAACCACTTATACAGTATGTTTTTCTAGAAGACAACAAGTTTTGATATTGTAACCTTTTAATGAGCTGTATTTCTTAAATGGACATGTCCAGCTTCCATACTGGGAACTGTCTATTGTCAATTTTAGGGATATCAAGATGAAGAATTAAAATAAGTCTGCCAACAGTATAAAGCTAGGTCAGACTGCATGGAAACTGGTATGCAGGCTGGCCTGTTTCTATACTGGTGGCAAAAGCTACACACTTGGTTCCAGTGGAGTAAAGGTTAAATACATTATATCATACCTGTAATTAGTCACTTGGGGTGTCCTTGACCAAGTGGTTAAGGTCCTTGACTTCAACCACTTGCCCCTCACCTGATGGGTTTGAATCCTGACAGATACTTTGAATTCTTTCATGTGAGGAGGCTATCCAGCTAGCTTTTGGAACGTCAGTGGTTCTACTCAGGTGCCTGTTTGTGTCTTCCTCCACCACTAGAGCTGGAAAGTCACCATATTACCTGTACTGTGTTGATGTGATGTAAAACCAAACCAAAAATACAAAATTAGTGACTTCTATGAAGTCACTACATAGAATCATTTTCTTTCAATCATTTGCACTAAGCATGAATCAAGATTATTATTTAGAATTACTATAAGACTTTTAAGTTGGTTATCAGATAGTTGTTGTGTATTTCATTATACACGTACATTAGCATATTTTTGAGTGAGACCTAATCTTGATGGTTCGAATATATGAAATCTATTTCAGGAGACATTTAAACTACGAGATGTAACAGAAGATGTGAAAGCTATTATACGATGTGTGAAAGATCTTACCTCAACCAGGAGAAACAGTGATTATACACTCATACACTTTGTGGAAATGTTTAAAGGTAATAATTATATTTCTTGATACTGCACATTTGTAATATTACTTTTCATTGGATACTCATGACATTTATATAGTTTTATATACATGGCTACTGTCAAGTTTTCCTAATAAAAAAGTTTGCTATATTTTGAATTGGTTATAAAGATTTTTTACAGGTTATATGACAGTATATAAATGGTTGTTTGCAGTATAATCCCCACCTAGCAGCCTGGGTTATATTTATATCATCTATATAGGGCCATATAACCTGTCAATATTTTTACACATGTATGTTGACATGATAAGTGATTGAATTGACATTGTGTAAAAAAATTTAGTACAGAAAATTTGGTTAAGATATTAAATAAGGTCAAAAATTATTATGTTTATCAGCTAGTAAGTTGTCATTTTGTTCTATAAAACAGGTTCAAAGAACAGTAAAATCACAGAGGCTGGTCATGACAAACATCCCATGCATGGTCGAGGCTCGGCATATAGTAGACAGGATGCTGATAGATTGTTACGTAAACTTGTCATCGATGGTGTACTGATGGAAGAATTGAAAATCACTGCCATGGAACATACTGCATGTTACATCAGATTGGGTAGAAAATCTCAGGATGTTTTGAATGGGAAGCTTAAGGTATGATATATGACAGGAGACAAAAGTGTAATATGTTTGTTAAAGTCTTGACAAATTAAATTAGTAGCAGTATAGCATTCAACAATAAAAATTTAAGGAAAACAATGCTGAAGTAAAATTCATGTATATAAAGCATTTCTTATTTTTTCTTTATTTAGTTTTTAGAAGAATTAAAAAATAAATTGGCCCCAAATTTCCTATACAACATTTAAGAAGTAGACATGTTTTCATAGGACACAGATGTCCTAATATTTTCTGTACTTCTTACGTTCTTAATTTCAAATATGCACTATATTGCTGCCTTAAAACTTATAAATATCTATAAACACCATATAAAAGTAACAGTAAAATATGCCAATATATGGTGCATGTTGTGGTGGCATCTGTCACCTATGAACATGTGTCAGAGCTCTCACTTTCTGTTTTTTAAGGAACATTACATGTAAGAAGGGGAATTTCCATGTCCTTTGCCCTTGTAGGAGACATTTCAAGCCATTCTTGTTGCACACAATACTCGGGTTGATATTTATTTACATATTTTATTTTGAAAAACAAAAAAATTTGAATGAATAAAACAGTAAATAAACACAATGTGTGCTTTCCTTAGACAGGAGCTATTGGTTAGCCTGTTTGGTTACAAATCAATCAGAAATGATATTTTCTTACATTTTCTGATGAGGATCATTCTATAGTATAAGTATGATGGCTATTGGTATAATGTAAGTTACTTCATTAATTTTTAATGACCACAGATAGAGTTACAAGTACAGGAGAACCGTAAGAAGAAGGAAATAAAGATTGGTACTGAACCAGTCAGTGAGAAGGCAAGACTGATAGAAACTTGTTATGAAGAACTGAAAACATTAGCCGAAGAAATAGGTAAGATGATTTGAATCAATTGTTGAGAAATATTTATAATTTATTAAAGAGACTGGAAATATTGTTTTGATGCTTGTGTGCCATTCTGGGCTAATAACTTGTGTGTAAAATTTCAGATCATTTATTTACTTTGTTTTAGTTAATAAAAATCTTATTGATATTGTTGCTATAATAATTTTACTTCACATTTGTAAAAAATTTAGACAGTTCACTTTAAACAGCTCCTTACTTTGCTTATTTCAATAGTTTGTCTATAATATGATTGTATTTAATGAAGACGTGCAAAAATAGTGGACACTTTTGTTAACCAGTTACTATCTTAACAGGGAAACATATGCTTTTGTATTACCTTTCTTAGTTTAAAGGGTTGATGTAGTATTTTGTTAACACATTTACTATTACAATTTATTTGTAGTGAGGGAGAAATCAGGACATATAAACTTTTTCAACATTTTCTCGCACAACTTACTACGTGTAATGTCGGAGAAACTACCAACAACAGAGACGGAGTTGTTGACATGTGAGGGAATGACGATGAACAAGTTGAGACAATATCAGGCAGAGCGGTTCCTCAATGTCACCAATAATTATGCTGCTTTAATTAACGGTAAGTAACAAAATCTCGTACACAATATGTATCTTTAATAGATGTTATCCGAAACTCGACAAAATGCGGGTTTTTCCAAGATAATCCCCAGCATAAACAAACTTCTACCATTACATCTTCACAGAAAACTACCGGTCACAATAGATTTTTCAACCTGTTGCGCTTATTTTTGAAGCTGTCAATGTAAAGTTTGTTTGTATTTGCTGGGAAAAACCCAAAATATTCTTAATTCCAAAGTGAGTCTATTATAAGAAAATTTGAGCTGGTTTTGTATAATGATTATGTTAAAAGTCGTCCAAGTAACCAAGTACTCAATCAGAAAAATTAGCAAGTACTCAAGTACTGAAATTGGTACTTGTTGCCATCCCTAGTAAATATCAAATACAAACTTCTTTCTTTAATCCTTAGTGAAATGTTAAAAGTTGTTGTCAGGAATAGAACATACAAATGGACAGCATCCGATTCACATTACTATAGTGATCTTACTGTTATTATACCCCCAAAAACGAAGTTTGGGGGGGTATATAGGAGTCACCCGGTGGTCGGTTGGTCGGTCGGTCCAGACGTCCGTTGCATTTTCCTTGTCCGGACCATAACTTGAAGACTAATGGTTGGAATTCAATATAACTACATACAATGGTCAAGCACATTGAGAGGAAGTGCAGTGCACAAGAACCATAACTCTATCTTGACTAATTACAGAGTTATTGCCCTTTGTTACTTTTCCTTGTCCGGGGCATAACTTGAAAATTACTGGTTGGAATTCAAAACAACTTCATACAATTGTCAAACACAGTAAGGGGAAGTGCAGTGCATAAGAACCATAACTCTATCTAAAGTAATTACAGAGTTATTGCCCTTTGTTACTTTTCCATTGCTTTCTTTTGTCCGGAGTATAACTTGAAGACTAATTGTTGGAATTCAATATAACTTCATACAATGGTCAAGCACATTGAGAGGAAGTGCAGTGCACAAGAACCATAACTCCATCTTGACTAATTACAGAGTTACTGCCCTTTGTTACTTTTCCATTGCTTTTTTTTGTCCGGAGCATAACTTGAAGACTAATGGTTGGAATTCAATATAACTTCATACAATGGTCAAGCACATTGAGAGGAAGTGCAGTGCACAAGAACCATAACTCCATCTTGACAAATTACAGAGTTATTGCCCTTTGTTACTTTTCCTTGTCCAGAGCATAACTTGAAAACTACTGTTTGGAATTCAATACAACTTCATACAGTTGTCAAGGACATTAAAAGGAAGTGCAGTGCATAAGAGCCATAACTCCATTTTGACAAAATACAGAGTTACTGCCCTTTGATACTTTTCCTTGTCTGGAGCATAACTTAAAACATACTGGTTGAAATTCAAAACAACTTCATACAATGGTCAAGCACAAAAAGAGGAAGTGCAGTGCACAAGAACTATAACTCCATCTACAGTATTTATAGAGTTATTGCCCTTTGTTCCTTTTCTTTGTCTTTCTGGACTTATTACAGAGTAATTCAATAAAACTTCATCAATGGCCAACCACATTGCAAGGAAATGCAATATACAAGAACCACAACTATCTTTAATTGCCCACAACCATAACTCTATATTTCAATTCTTTTACAAGATATTCTGTTACTAGTAACATCCTCATTTCCGAAGCAGTCTTGTGGGGGTATTAATCACATTTAGTGATAGTTCTAGTCTTAATTTAGGAGAGGAAATTGATTACTGGCCGTCTGGTTTCACACCCTGTCAGGGGCAAGTCGATGTTTCCGTGAGCAAGAAACTTTAAACTAATTGCTTAGTACTGGTTGGTTCCAGGAACAGATTTGAGAGTAATAAGCTTTCAACATAATCAAACTAAAATAAATTTGTATGAACTAATAGAAGAGTAAAAAATGCTAGTAATGTGTACAAGTTGTAGTTAAGGTTTTTGTTTCTGATTTATTTACTAGCTTTACAAGAGACAGAACAGGTTACTGAAGATAGTGATCCTGAAGAATGGTTAACATCTACAACCTCCGACTACTTTCCTAGTTCTAATACATCAAATTACTCACGAGGGGGGCGTGGCAGGGGTAGAAGTCGAGGCGGAGGAAATAAAAAGGTTAGTTTTGTGATGTGTATTCTACTTTTTAATAAAGACCTTAAAATATTTGATAACAAGAGACAGAACTGATTAAATATAATCTTAATGTCTGAACTAAAAAGATGATTTTCATACTGATAGTTGGATTTATACACAGATCATCTACTTCACCAGTGACAGGTGGATTGTTGCTTTAGAAAATCATCTGTTGTAAACAAATGTACAATTTCAAAATATATTATGATTATAATTTCTCTTGTCTTTCTGATTTTGGTTACATAAAGGTATATATTGTAACATGTTATTTTCCAGCCATTTTTTCGTAAGAAGAAGGCAACAACAGGTAAGGCTGCAAGTAAAGGAGGATATGGTAAAAAGAAGTCTGCAAGTTCTACAACTACAACAAGGTACACTATATTTTATATACATTTTGTATTACCACAATAACATCCTAGTCAGTTCTGTTTGAAATAAATAAATCTTACACTAATTCAATTAAAATGGGATTGCACACCCCTGAAAGTAAGAAAAAATTTTCAAAGTATTTGTGCTTTTAAATTGATAATGACTATGCTGAAACATTGTCATGTTAATATTTCTTTTATACAACTGCAAAATATTTGTTTAGCAAATTGTAGCCAGGCACAAAGCAATAAAGACTGATCATAAAAAAAATGCTGTTTGATGTTGTTGTATTTTTATTTTTACATGTGTATTTAGCCTCAAAAGTGTCCAAAATATTAGTAAAATTTAAAAAGCTTTTAGTTGGCTTTTCATTTAAATTCAATTATTCCTTAATAGATACTGATTACAATGATTTGATTTTTATGTGATATTTTTATTTTTGTAACTTCAGCTCTGGGGGTTCAGGCTGGTTCTCAAAGACCTCGTCTGGTTCTTCTCTCAATCAGTTCCAGTATAAGAGTTCAGCGGCTCCCAGTAGACCAGGTACCAGTGGTCGTCCTGGCATGATGCCAGTTCCTGCACCCAAAAGATCTTTTCTGTCAACTGGAGGGCAGTTCTTTGGATGAAATTTTTTTATCAATGAAAATCAGTGCCAAATCTCACCTCTATGCTATCTCAAAATCTCTTTGAAGATGGTAGAAAAAAGTTAATGCTAGATGACGGCCAGGGCAAGATTAACTTTCAGAGAGGATATTTGCTATATATAGAGCTAGAGAGATTATTAGTGACTTCATAAATATCCAATTAGATAGATAATTGATGTTCTAAAAACATTTAATTGATGTAATGGAACAATTTTTAAAACAACAAAGTGGTGTATAAGACACATTATTAAATGTTAAAATGATTGTCATAGTGATTGATTGTTTTAGTTCCGATATCGTTTTTATATTTTAAGAAATATTTTAAATGTTCAACAAATAGACCGTCAACATTTTTTTACAAACTCAGGAAGTTAGGTTTGTGTGTATTGAAAATATGTATGGTTAAAGCAGATACAAATATAACATATAAAATATTGTTTTGAGCTATTTAAATGAAGAAAAGATAATATGATTTGAATAGATACATGTATATAAAAACATTTGGTAAAATTCCTTGTCAGATGATTTAACTGTACTTAAAGCGTTTTGTTGACCTTTATGTCAGATTAAAGTAGTTGTATAAATAATGTTAGTCAATGTAATATAGCAACATAGATTTTGATTTAATAAATTTTAGCAATAGATTGTTATGGTAACAAGATAAAAATTTTGCTAAAAAGTGATTCTCGGAACTTATTATCAGAAATTCATACAAGGAGAACTGATTTAACTGAAACACTAGTTAATTACTTGTCAGTAACTGAATAAGAAAATCACCCATTAGCCACTGATTCACTACTTTAGTTAATTACCTGTCAGTTACTAAATCACAACAGTAAGTGAATCACTAGTTTAGAAAATCACCCACTAGCCACTGATTCACTACTTTAGTTAATTACCTGTCAGTTACTGAATCACAAGGTTAATAGCCTGTCAGTTACTGTAATAGCCTGTCAGTTACTGAATCACTAGTTACCTGTTGGTAACTTAATCATTAGTTAAATTGATTACCTATCAGTAGCTGAATAACTTGTTTGGTTAGTTGCCAGTGAGTCTTTGTATCTCTAGAACAGTTAATTACCTGTCAATAACTGAATCACTAGTTAAGTTAATTACCTTTTAGAAACTGAATCACTAGTTAAGTTAATTACCTGTCTGTAACTGAATCACTAGGTAATTACCTGTCAGTTACTGAATCACTAGTTAATTACCTGTCAGTATCTGAATCACTAGTTAATACCTTTAAGGAACTGAATCACTACAACAGTTAATTACCTTTCAGTAACTGAATCACTAGTTAATTACCTGTCAGTAACTGAATCACTTGTTAATTACCTTTTAGGAACTGAATCACTAGAACAGTTAATTACCTTTCAGTAACTGAATCACTTGTTAATTACCTTTTAGGAACTGAATCACTAGAACAGTTAATTACCTTTCAGTAACTGAATCACTTGTTAATTACCTTTTAGGAACTGAATCACTAGAACAGTTAATTACCTATCAGTGACTGAATCACTAGGTTAATTACCTATCAGTAACTGAATCACTATTTTATAAATTGCCTGTCAGTGTTATGTAGTTGATTCAAATCTATGATTGCAATGAGGTCAAAATGTATGGCTAACCTAAACCGAAATTATAGTTATTAATACATGATTGTACTTTTTCTCAAAATTCATTTTATTGGAGAATATAAAACTGTATTAAATTTCTCTTGACATAAAAAGATTTATATCTAAGCAATTAGGAGGCATTATTTTACTTTTTATTTTTCAGACTAATCATCTGAAAAAAGTGGGCATTTTAATAGTAACTGAGGATTAGATGATATTATTTGTATCTTAGTTTTTTTTTATTATGCATAAAATTTTAGTTAGTTTTACAATTTATTTGTTTTATCTTATTTTAATTGACTATATTTTGTTGTATCACTGTATTTTACATTGTTATTAAATGTTTTAAATGATTAAGTTATTGTTAAATATCTTAACTACCACCTTTTATTGATACCCTCATTTTCCCGTTCCCTACTAGTGATTGTATTGTAAGAGACTGAAGGCATTATTATGTAATACATGGTGGCTTTCAAGTCACCTGTATGTACTACTCTTGAACTGTACTGTACATACTTTTTATGTTTATACTTTATGGAATTTTAATAAAGGTAAAATTTCACCACATGGACGTCAAAATTATGTCTGGTAAAATGTCTGGAATTCTGTATTCCTAAAAGTTTGAAGACTGAATGGACCACCCTCTTTACAAAACACAGAACATAGCCTCTTGTTAAGAAATTTGTTATGGCCTAACTACATTGTACTTAGATTTGTCCTTGTCATGCTGTCCATCCATGGCCTGGAAAAAAAATGGTGCAATGTTAGGGCATCTGTGTCATATGAACACATTTCTAGTTTCTAAATATGCAGCTTGCACGTATATAAATTGCTCTTTATTATCAACAATAATCAAAGGGGCTTAAATGTGCTATTAAAGTAACTCCACTGACAACCTAAAAACATTAAATTTGAATTTCTTACTAAGATCAGCTGGAGCTCTTAAAACAGTAAGATATGTAAAATATATCTAAGAAATATTCTTGAAATAAATTAAAAATTGTATTTTTGTGCTATTCTTAGCTAAATTTGAGTGAAAGATTTACAAAAGATTTCCAGTTTTGGGTAATGCTTCAATAATCATTCTGGAGAAATGTACATGTAGTTAACAAATGACTATAAATTTTGCACACAAGTTATTGGTGTAGACCTACAACAAAATTAATGGAAAATTCATCTAATCAACTTATATCCAGTCCTGTCATGTCGAAAAAAGCTCAG